TCACTTGTAGATAGATTGTATTTGTTGGCACTCTGTTTAATAGTTTTCATCGTTACTTTTTCAGTCTTATTCCTCTTATTAGAGAAGCCTTATCAGCTTATTATATAATACTGGTTGGGTGGTGAGGCCCTCCTTTAGCGATTTATTGTAGGAGAAGCGGTTTATCTGACCTTGAATTCTAAATGATAGCTTTGCTGGATAGAGTCATCTCGGTTGTAGGTTCTTGCTATTCATCACTTTGTATATTTCTTGCCATTCCCTTCGGGGTTGTTACCTGGAAGATGAATCAGCTGACACTCGGACATGGCGGAGGGAGGGAGGGAGGTGGCTCGTGCTCACCCTGGGCGGGAGGAGGAGGAGGAGGCGGCAGTGGGGGAGGGGGAACCCTGGGAGGTGGTGCGCGGGCCGGCGGGAGGGGGAAAGGAGGAGGAGGGTGGGGGAGCGGAGCACACTGCGCGCGGGGAGGGCGGGCGGGGGGCGCGAGGACACACAAGAGGCTGGAGCGGGCGCGAGCTCGAGCGCGCGCGGGGCCAGCGGGAGGGGGAGGGAGGAGAGGGACTCTGGCGGGGAGGAGGGACTGCAGGAGCCGCCCAGCAGCCGGAGTCGTCCCCAGCGCGAGACCCCTGAGACGGCCGCTGATTGGCTGGTGACGGCGCAGGTGGTGGGCGCGCGGGAGACGGTGGCTTCTCTCCCCCCACTTAAAAGATTTTACCCCCCCTCCGCCGGCTGCGGCCGTTATTTCGCGCGCACGCGCACAAAACCGCTGTCGAGGAGCGGGCGGAAAGGGGAGCGCGCGCCAGGGGCACGGATAGGGCGGAGCTCAACTCAAAGCGCGCGCCCGCCTAACGGTTGTTGTCCTCAGGCTTTGGCTTCAGCTTTTTGTTTCCAACGGGCCACCGTCCCTTCCCGCTCCAGTAGTTTACTCACAAACCTGTGCTGCTGCATGTTTTCCCAAAGATGGCGCCCCAGAAAGTTACAGCGGAGCTTGTGGCCGTCCCAAGGGCAACTATACCCCGGCCCCACCCCCATAGCCTCAAGAACCAGGCTGAAGCAACGGAGTTAAAATTGTATTTATACAAGAAACGGTTATACAACGACTGGAAAGAAAAAAAAAAGGCAAAGTGACGAGAGGAGCTGGCAGTCAGGAGGGGCTGCCGTACTGGCCCGCGGCGAGACCCAAGATGTTCGCCTGCAACAGGAGGGAAGGGGAACAGCGTCAGAGCCGGGGCAGGGCACGGGCCGGGAGAGGCGCGGGCCAAGCCTCGGGCTCACCTTCAGGAAAGACTCCAGCTGCTTTCCTGACATGACCTTCACACGTTCCAAGTCCTCCACCTGCAGGACAACAGCCATGGGCAAGCGGCCTAGGGGGTACCAGGCTCTTTCCCCCTCAGTCACCCAACTCCATCCAGTGCTGCCCTCCCTGGGCCGTTACCTGGCTGAAGGGGCCATGGAGCTCCCTCCAGCCCACGATGAGCTGGGCCTTCTTCTGGCCAATGCGCTGCAGGCTGCGCAGGTCCCGGGCTGAGCCCTCGTTCAGCATGTCTAGTATTTTTTGGCGCCCACGGGCCAGTAGCTCTGGGCTGATCTGTAGCTCCCAGCAGTCCTCAGCCTTTTCCTTGGACTCGGGGGCATCCAGGCCCTCCAACTGTGAGGCAGGGAGAGGTGAATGACAAAAACAGCAGTTTGCTGCTCAGCCCACTGCAGGCTTCGGACGCCTCTGCCAAGGCTAGCAACCTAACAGCAACTGCCTGCCCCGCCCGCTCCAGCCTCTTTCCCTCCTGTCAATTGTCTGACCAAAAACTTTTCCCTCTGGTCACTCATCTTACTCTCATTTTATCCAACTTGTGAAAGAATGGTTAATGGAATTGCTGTGAAGGTCAAATGAGTTATCGAACATAAAGCACATAGTAAGCTCTTAAATCTGGCCCATTTCTCAAAAAGAATCAGCTCTTTTTCACCCCTAGGAAAGCACATAGGAGAAGGTACTCAATAAGTGGCACCTCCCCCAACCATCTCAGTTTTTAGGTAGTTCTTACACTGTTGTTTCATTTCTCCAGTGTTGAGGTCGTTTCCCTACATGGGCTCGTAAGTTTGTCGAGGGCAGGACCAAGGCTACATACATACCACACTGGTTAAGTAGTTACTGAGTGTGAGAGCTTTCAGGAAGAAAGGTAAGTAACAAATAATAGAAAACCACTCTGCTAAGTACAGTATAACACTACACTTCATCCTAAATGCCCTGTGAGTTACTTCTGTATTTAGACCACAAGCAACTTGGAAGAGTTGTAAATAGCTGATAAATATTCTGACAGGTCATGTGATCCCATGGTCATTGCTCTCCCACTACAGGTTACTAACCCTTACTTCTAGGCTCTAAGTATAGCCTAAGCCTCCAGCTACTCTGACCTTTCTCTTTCGGCCTTTCTTCTTCAGGATATGGATGTTAGCATTTGGGGATTCTGCTTGCTCCTGAACTGAAAGAAAAGAACTGGAGTCATTACAGAAGCTACTTTTCACCCTCCCTGATAGCCACTTGGTTCTCCCATTTCTGATTCCCCAGTTCCCCTCCACCCCAAGTTAACCTCTTCTTTTGTTGTGTTTCCACATGACCTTTCTTATACCAGTATTTGAAAGTAATCTCAGTTGGTCTTGTATGATAATCCATCATGCATTTGTCAGTCTACCCCATTGTACTAAATGCCTGAGAGCAGAGAATCAGATCTATTTCAGATCCTCCTCACCCATCCCAGGGGCTGGCATATGGTGGGAAGACATGAGTGACATAAGGACTACTGCTCCTAACCCTCCTCCCTCCTGAGATCTGTTATCTGTGCCCTTCTGGCTGGCCCCCAGAGCCAAACTTACTCAACTGTAGGGGAATCACCACAGCCTTTTTGAGGGGCTTAGCCACTGTGACTGTGCGGCGGGCAAGAGGTCGGAGCATTGTGGGAGAGCAGTTCTCTTTCTCTTTTGGGTCCACAGTTTCCTGGGCCCGCACCTTGGCTTCCAGTTCTTTTTGCTTCAACTTAAGCCTCTGTTGGGAAAGGATAAGGGAGAGATGTGACCCAGAACCAATTTTAGGGCAACTTGAAGGAGAGTGGATTAGGAAAGTAAGTATGCAGGGCTCCAAGGCCCTAGACCAGCGGTCACCAACCAGTGGTCTGCGGACCACTGGTGGTCCGTCAGGTCTGAAAGGTTGGCGACCGCTGTCCTAGAGGGCAGGGTAAAGGCCAATGGAAGCTACCAGGAGACAATTGGAGCCGAATATAATTAAGGGCTTTCTAATGATTAGGGCTGCTCAGAGATGGAACAAGCCTCTTTTTGAAATACTAAAAAGACTATTCAAGCAGAGTGCTAACTTAATTTGATAATTAGGTTTTCCAAAATGGCAACATCTTACATTTGTTCCTTTTATTTTTTAAAAAATATATCTTGATTGATTTGAGAGAGGAAGGGAAAGGGAGAAAAACATTAATGACGAGAGAGAATCATTGATTGGCTGCCTCCTGCATGCCCCCTACTGGGGATCGAAACTGCAACTGGGGCATGTGTCCTTGACGGGACTTGAACCTGGGACCCTTCAGTCCGCAGGCAGAAGCTCTATTCACTGAGCCAAACCAGTTAGGGCCATTTGATCCTTTAACTTGTAATCCCTTCCCTCCCCATCTGATCTCAATTATTTTTCAAAGTTAAGCCATGTTAAGGACATTCAAACAGAAGCTGAAAAACTGAAGGACTCCAGTGGTGGGTGAAAACTGGATGCTGGTCTAGCCTTTCAGTGAGTGTCCTTCCTTATCTGAAGATCCTGATTGCTTCTCAAGGGAAACAGGGACCCCAGCCCCCACCTTTTAACACTTACTTCAATCTCCAAATCCTTCTCCTCCACTGTCTTCATGAGCACCATTCGCTCTCGCTTTGGGGTGCTCAGCAGAGGGGTCCCCTGGGTTCCCCGGGAGCCCAGCAGACGGTCCAAGCTCAGGAGGCGCTCTAGCATGGCTGGGTCCATGCTACTTAGCTTCTGTAGGGAGCTGAGCAGACAAAGAGGTTACTCCCCACCTACTTCTCTCATCACCCTCTCCAGCAGCAGGATTCTCCTCATTGTGCCTTAACCTGGTGTTCTATTTGGTTCCAGAACTCTGGTGTTAACTTGTTGGTTAACTGAGCAAATCATCCAAACTCTCTGGGTGCAGTATGGAGATTGATCACTATCTCTCAGGGATACCAGATCAGATGAGAAAAAGCTTTTTTTAAAAAAAATAGTTTTATTGATTTCAGAGAGGGGAAGGGAGAGAGATAGAAACATCAATGATGAAAAAAAAAGAAAAAGGAAATATCAATGATGAGAAAGAATCATTGATTGCCTGCTTCCTGCACGCCCCATCCTGGGGAACCAAGTCCACAACTTGGGTATGTGCCTTGACCAGGAATTGAACTATGACCTCCTGGCTCATAGGTCAGTTTTCAACCACTGAGCCACACCAGCTGGGCGAGAACAAGCTTTTAATGAACACAGGAATTCGGAGCCTACGTGCCTATCCATGTGGAGGAGCAGTCAGGGAAGCTTCAGAGGACGTCATCTCCAACAGGGCTTTGAAAGCCACTGAAGACCTCACATGTCAAGGCTTTCCCCTGAGGGCAGTAGGAAAGGCCTATTCAAGTACAGTCCTGAGCATAATAATGCCTAACATCTGTCCCTTCTGTCTGAATTTTTCCCCTCACATCTGACCTCAATTATCATTCAAAGTGAATTTGATGCCACCTCTCTCACGATGCCCAACTTGATTGTGCATATTCTTTCCTACACTGAACTAGCTCCTCAAAGACAGGGATTGCCCTGTTCTGTGTGTACAATTACCTAGGAAGAACAGGATCAGAAGATATGGATGAACGCTAGAAGTCATTCCTTCCTTCTTAGCTCTTACAGCACAAGCAACTTCTCCATCCTTACTATACTCTGTACTACCTATCTTGCATCACATACTGATATTCCCGTCTTATTTCCCCTACTAAAACGTGATCCCTCTGAGGTCAGGGTCTGACTAGGTCTGATGTATCCCATCTTTGAGCTCACCCTCAGAATTCGATTCTGGGCCAAAGAGTTGCATGTGGCTCGATAGCCGCAGTTTGCCGACCACTGGGCTAGGGGAAGCACATTTTTATGTATGTCATCCTTCCTCAGCTACAATAGCCCCCTGGGGGCACTAATCCTTGGTCTCCTTACTTCGCCTCTGTTCAGTACACAGTTTAGAGGGGGCTCGGTAGAAACAGCAATATTAAAACTGCAACTGACTCCTTGGAGTTAGGAGGGCAGGTGGCGAGACATAGAAAGCAAGACCCACTAAACAGAGGTGACCTGAGGGTTAGTGCATACTGGCCCACAAGGGTATCAGAACTGGGGGGTGGGCACACCCACAGAAGAGACTCAGTTTAGAGAGGCTTTGTTTGGATTGAGGGGAGAAGCAGGGGAATGCTATGACACAACCGGCTCCTCGGAGAGTCATGAAGAGACTGAGAGGTCTCAGCCAGACATAGCTCTTCATCTCTGTCTCCTTTGCTTTGCTCTAATCCTCTGGACCTGAAAGACCTGAGCCAGAAGCAAAAGTACTTGTCCTTGAAACAGCTGCCCCAAAATACGATGTTTTTGTGGAAAGGGAGGGGACTAGGTGCTCAAGTAGGAAGCCTCTGGAGGACCCCAGGCAGCAGCACCAAGGAACAGGTTCACAGATCAAGGATCTGATGGGCTCAACTCACTGCTGCTCTGCACCCAACCCAGACACAACAGGAAAGGAAATATGCCCAAGGTCTCTCCCCATCTGCTCACCTGAATTTCTGAGAAGCAGAGGCTGGAGGCGCAAGGGGCTCAGGATTCCCAATCTCTTCTGGATTCCCAATCTCTTCTTCCTCAGGGCCTCGGGCTCTCTTTGCTCTGGAGGGCCTCCCAGTTCTTTCTGAGACAGTTTAACAGGAAAAATGGGGTGTGTGTGTGTGTGTGGGGGGGGGGGGGTATGTCAGCCTTTGTGCTACCGCTTGGGGGATTTAGCAAACCCCCAATTGTCCAGACCGGCCTTTCCACTCCTGCCAACCCCTGTCCTTACCATGAAGCTGTAGGCTCTCATTGGTAAAAGGTCGGTTGATCACCTCCTTGGACCTGGCAGCAAAATTGAGTGCAGAGACTGTGTCTAGGTAGAAGCATCTCTCGGGGGCAATGTTGGCAATGAGGATGCTGTGGGCTGAGCCACCCAGAGAGTCCTGAGGGATGGGGATCGGGCAGGATGGACTGGTCAGAAGGCCCCATGTTTCCATTCCTTGACTGCTGTTTCCCAAAACCCCCAGGAGGCCCAAGACCCTCTTCTCCAGCCCCTTTGCCCTGATATGGGTGGCCTGACCTGCAACAGGCGGGTGAGCTTGCTGTCCCGGTAAGGCACACGTGGGAGGCCCTGGTTCAGCGCATCCACCACCTTGCCCAATACAAAGAGCGAGGAGTTGATGGCTCCACTCTCCTTCAGCCTCAGGCCTTTGTTGCCTGTACGCCGGTTATCCTCTGAGCCAGCCAAATCAATCAGATAGAGTTTCCCCTCCCGCTGACGAAACGGGGCCAAGCGTTCCCGCTGGTCCACCTGGGGGAAGAACAAGGGCCCCAGGGTTAGCTCAGGCCGAAGGGGCTTCCCAGGTCCTCACCCATCAGTGGGCCTCACCTTAACCAGGAGCACAGCATGACTGCGGGAGGAGCGCTGGTTGAGCCGAGTGGGTCCTACAGTCCGATTTCGACTGGCTGGTAGGAAGTGCTGCTCAAAATCAGCAAAGCTAGTGATGGGCTTCTGCGTGAGGCCTGGAATCAGTATGTTTCCTCGACAGTCTTCTCGGATCACCAGGTCTCCGGATGCAGGGTTCAAGAGGTCTAATACCTATCGGGGCAGTGAAAGATAGGGCCCATTTTCTAGAAACACACTGCTTACTTTCTGGGGATCAGTTTCCTTTTCTCTGCAGGATTCTCAAAGTTGTACCATCTGTTACCCCAACCTCTCTCTCTCCAGGTTTTAAGTCCTTGATACAGCAGAACTTATGTTCTAGAACTAAGTCTTACTTTGACCCTTTGTCTCTCTCCTCCCCAACCAGAGCAGGGCCTCACCTTTTCCTGGTAGATCTCTAAGTAGGACATAGTGACAGAGAGGGCCCATGGCCGGCCCTCAGCGCCCTCCTCCCTTGTGAGCTGTAGGAGGTCCATGAGAGCCCGGGGAATCACTCCAGGTTGCTCTGGGCTGCCCAGCATTGTGTGCGTCTTCCCTGGGAAAAGAATGGAGAGAGCTGTGAGATTTTCCTCCCCACTCCGAAGCCCTTTCTAACCCATAGCTGTTCCTTATCTGGCTCCCTCACCTGCCCCTGTGGGCCCATAGGCAAGCACACTGGCATTCTGCCCTTCCAGCAAATGCCTTAGGATGGGCTGCACTGATCCTGCATAGATGTCCTGCTGAGAACTCCCCTCTCCATAGAAGGCATCAAACCTGCAGGCAGGAAGAAAGGAGGGAATTAATGGACCGTTACAATTTCACCCAGACCTAGAGGGTAATACTGGCCGCAGATTTAAAACAGTCCATCCCTTTCTTACAAAAAGACCCTCGAAAGCACCAACTGAACACCTGTTCCATCCCATTCCTAACTGATGTTAGGAATACAGAGATGAATCTGATGCCTCTGTTCTTGGGAGTTCTGTAGTCTGGTGAGATGGACACACACACACACACACACACACACACACACACAAGCCAGATAGTAAATATAGACTTTGTGGGCCATATGGTTCCTTTCACAAGTACTCTATCCTGTCATTGGAAAACAGCTTTAGACAATCCTATATAATAAAAGCCTAATATGCAAATCGACCGAATGCCAGGCCAGCCAAGGCAGGTGCCAGCGGGCAGAGAGGCGACCAGCAGGGGTGGCGGGCCGACCAGGGGGTGGGTCCGGCCCAACTCCTGATCAGCCCCCAACAGGAGGAGGAGCTGAAGTGGGGAGCACGGCAGGCAGCAGCTCAGCTGAAGTTGCAGCGGTGACAGCGGTAGCGGTGCGTACACCACAGCCTCCCAAGCCCCAAGTCCTGGCGGGAGGCAGCAGCAGGGAGCCCTGGCAGGCCTAGCCACCGCACCTCAACCGCCGTGGCCACGCCTGGGAACTCCCAGCCATGGTCACGCCGCACGGTCCCCAAGAAGAGCTGCTGCCACTGGCTGGCCCCAGGTCCCAGTGGTTTGGGGACTGGGAGGAAGGGGAGGATGAGGTGGTGATGCCCAAGGCCAGCACCGCAGGCAGGGGAGTCCGGCCGGGGGCTGGGCATGGGGGCCAGGCAAGTGGTGCCCCAGGAACTGGGCTTGAACCCCACCCGCCGCTGCCCATTGCCATGGAAACTGCATCCACAAGTAGGACAGGCGGGCACCGCAGCCCCGTAAATAGCGCGTTGGGACCCAGGTCCCCAGACTGCCCCCTTCCTGCAGCGCAACTCTGCACCTTCCTCGCACTCCTCACCTTCAGCACCTATCTCCCCCCAGGCCCCCCACACACTCCATGCCTGTGCCCTAATTTCGTGTGCCGGTCCTCTAGTCTGTGTGTGTGTGTGTGCATATACATATATATAAAACATATATAAAAGGTTAATATGCTAAGTGTCCGACTGTTCGACCAGTAGCTCTGATGCACACTGACCACCAGGGGGCAAACACTCAACACACAGGCATGGAAACATGGAACAGACTGATGAATCTCAGAGGGAAGGGGGGAGGGAGGGTGGGAAGAGATTAACCAAAGATCTTATATGCACACTAGATCTTATATCCATACTAGGGTCCCTCGGCCTGGCCTGCGCTCTCTTACAATCCGGGACCCCTCGGGGGATATCGGACTGCCAATTTTGACCTGATCCCTGCAGGCCAGGCTGAGGTACCCCACCGGTGCACGAATCCATGCACCGGGCCTCTAGTATGTAAATAAATGAGCATGGCTATGTCCCGATTAAGTTTTATTATAAAGACTCCTGGTCAAACTCCTACAGGCTGTAATTTGTCACCCTCTGGCCTAGGATGACAGGGCAAGGAGTCTGAACTTTAAATCTCTGACACTACCCAGCTACAGCCTGGGTTAGTTGTCGGGTTTATGTTCCCCCAACCATTCCCACACCTCCCCCAGATCCTACTTGGGGATCTCCTGCTTACCTTTGTTGCTCAGTCCCTACTTTGTGCCTGTTTCCCCCACAAAACTGTGAACAGTAATGTATGTCTGATTCAGCTCCCAGTCTTTCCCCACAGTATAGTATCCTTCAGAGCACCCATCACAATGGGCACCTGTGAACATTTCCTGAATGAACAAATGAAGATGTGGGGAACAAAGCAGTGCTAAGGAAGGAGCAAGAATACTGAGGAAGCAGCTCTGAGAAACTATGTGGGTAAGTGAGAACGTGAGCAGACCTAGCAGAGGGATGGGAAAAAAGAATGCCTGAACCTTACTGGTATTTGAGAGTCTCCTGGTGGTTCCTCCAGTTGGCAATCTCTAGAGAATAGCTGTCCAGGCCCCGTACACAGGGGGTATCATTTGCTCCAGATGTGCCATCTACAAATGGCCTCAGTCGCACAGCCACCCTTACTCGAGCTGGAGGCGGGCGCCGGACAGCTCCCACCTTGCTTAGCCGACAGCGACCAGCTCCTGGAGGAGAGAAGATAAGTTTTAGCATGAAGTAGGGTGTTGCACAGAGGAAGTAGGGACCAGCTTTGCTGAGAGGTATGGGTAGGAGTGTTAGAGGAGGAGGTATCTGGTATAGCTGAGCTCTGAAGGATGAATTGGAGCTTGCCAAGCATTCCAGGTAGAAGGAATGGCATGTGCAAAAAGCATAGAGGTTTGAAAGCTTGAGACCTCTTGGAGAACTGGTGAGGCAAGATGTGTGTGTTCTGTTAGTGAGGGTGAGCAGCGAAGGGCAGAATGGAAGAAAAATAGAAAAATCAAATACATGGTTTCAGGCAGAGTATGGTGGGGGGGATTAGAGGTGAGAAATTATATATAGGCCAGGGACTATTGTGTACTTAGCCAACATTAACATTTATTAAGCACTGACTACATGCCAGGCACATTGGTGTTCCTGAAAGATAGGGTCTGTTAGTCCCATTTTATCAATGAAGAAGCTCATAGAGGTGTAGCAGCTCTTGTGAGCACCGTGGTATTTTATACCGGGGGCCATGTGACCATAACTTTATATCATAGCCTATACTATAGTACCGTCTTTTTTGCTCTTCAACAGAGGAAGAAGCAGAGCCTAAAAGCAAAACAAACCCCAGTATCTTAGAAGACTAGAGACCTCCATAACCAAGGGCAGGGAAGAAGGCCTGGAGGCTCGAGCCCTGGGATACTATTGGAAGGGCCAGTGGCCACAGCTCATTTTGAAGAAGCTCTTTTCCACCCTGGCCATGCTGTGGTGGCCCCAGCTTGCCTCAGTTCTTCATCTCTTCAAGTAGGTCCAG